CAGTAGATTTTGAGTCAGAAGRTTGTCATACAAAGCATCAAGATGAGTCTGAAAGAATACAATGATACWAAATTATAAAAACAATTCTTTGCTTAATTCATCTACACTGTTTCAAATAAATTATCAATGGGTCAATGTTAACCATGGCCAAAAAGGCTAAAAGGTATCTCAAAACATTGATCAGATCAATATTAATTGTTTTGAACTAATGTGTCCAAAAACGATTTTCCAAAGAATGTGTGTATTTCACATGTTGCAAACAGTTTCAGGAATACTGAAGATGTACAATCCAGCATTGTTGGTCATTCTATAGCTGTTCAAACCCAGTTCAATGAGGTTCCAGAGTGACTATACTAGCTCTGTATAATCAAGAACTTCAATGGAAAGTAATTAAGTTTAAAACTGAAATTTTGTAASAGCTAACAAAGAGTTTAACAAAGTTTAACAAAGAGCATTCCTGTAATGCAGTATTCATTAGCACAGTATTCAGTGTCTTCTAGATACCTGTATGATAGGGTCTTCTGTTAGTTCCTTCTTGTAAGTCTTGAGAGCCTACAACATGAATAAGACCCAGAGATTAACCTTATAAACACAATACTGGTCACTAAAGTGGACTTCAATGATCTCAATTATCATTTGTTCAATATACTAAAAACTACACAACCTTTTATTAAATTACCTTTTGAAATTCAGAYAAAGATCGGTTGTGACTGGCATTTGCAATACTCTTCATAGCTATCAACTATAGTGGAAAAAAATAATAATCTCAGTTACTTACACATGGGAATAGCACAATGTAAGGTTAAATAATGTTGGACACAAACATAGTAATCGTGATCAGTCTATAACTATCACTCAAGTAATTTTTAGTCAAAAAGTAAGCCAACAAGACACCCAGTATAGTTAATCACAGAATGTATTGTCAATCAATCAGAAATGTAGTCAGTAACTCCAGTGAGCGGCAAGAACAACTAACCTGTGGCCCTGAGTATCGTAATGCCAGCTTTCTACTTATTATAGACTGGACATCATCGGGACTATAAAAAGTGTATGATTAATAGGTTTTAGTGTTGACATTTACAACAGAATTATTTGCACAATGTGTGGAGTGGAGTGTATAACTTCCACTGATTAAGATAAACAAACAAACAACAACAATAAGTCTCACAAACAGACATACCTGTCCAGCATTATCTTACAAAGAAGCATGTATTTTAGAGCTGACACAGCTTTTGGACTATCAATCGAGTCAAATCCCTTAAAAAACAAACAACATTTGTATTAGAACTTATATTATCAACAATAATTATTAATTATTTCATAATTCTAAGAATTAACCTGAGGTTGAGTGGATAATTAATGAATTTGTGCTCAGTCGAGACTCCATCAAAAAGGACAAATTTGTATAAGAAAACAAGTTTGCTTTTCTTTACTGTAACCACAGTCTATCCTCAATGTAAATACCATTCATTAGCCAATCAGAATGCTGGCTTTGTGATATTTCTTTGTTTGGTGGAAACTAATWAATAATAAACACACAAAAATATCATATACTGTACCTCAAACCCTTCATAAAAATATGAATAMGCAGTTTTAAAATCCTTTTCTTCAGCATGAAGAATACCTGTTAATGCCATAGAAACAAAATACACAATCATTTTTACAATCATTTTGCCGAATATACGAAAAATTACAAGGAGTAAGAAAAAGAAATAACAAAAAAAACAACAACTACAACAAGATTTGATGTAAACAAAAAGGAAAGGAAGGCAACAGAAGTCATGC